ATCCCCCGTATCGCCTTCAGAGACTGTTGGGGCAAGTGCCGTTAGCGAGCAGCACCTATGAAGGCCGGCACGGCACACGAGGGGGTGGGTTGCCTGCACCACACTAGTGGTGCTGGTGATGACAATGATGTTTACACACCGCACCAGACGCTCGTTTAAGGCTGAGTCGACCTAGAGCTAGCACAGTAACGGTTCCAGAGATCGCTCGTGGCCTGTAATAGAATTCAGACGGCCGGGTAGGGATCGCAGCGTGCTAACCATTGCGCCACCGCTCCGCAGTATATACACACGCAGACACCAGTACATTTACACGCATACATACAACAACACACGCGGGATATTGTTGTTATTATTTACATTAGAGAGCATTGGGTCACTTGCTTCTCGCGAGCACCTATTGAGGTCACAAAGGCAAAGATCCCCCGTATAGCTTTAACAAACTGTTGAGGCAAGTGCCCTTCGCGATTACACTTGAGGTACGGTGGGACCAGCACCACGATCGCCCCGCCGCCTTACTCACGCTCGCTGCACAAGCTATCACTTTTAAGGCTGAGTCGACCTAGGCGATGGGTGTTGCTCTGAATTGCATTGCGCCAACGCTCCCCAGCCAGACACACACACACACACACCACGCGTACACAAGCAAAACAAAGACAAAGATCCCCCCGTATAGCCTTAATAGACTGTTGGGGCAAGTGCTGTCAGCGAGCGCATTTGAAGGCCAGAACGGTACACGAGGAGATTTGGTGGCCAGCGCCACGCCCGACCGCCTTTGTTTCCCAATTGGCGATGTTTACACACCAGGGACTCATTTGAGGCTGTGTCGACCTAGGGGGAGGCCCAGGACCGGTTCAGATAATCGTCACTGGGTGTTGGCCGTAAGCGGGAATCGAACTCGGGTCGCCGGGGTCGTAGCGCAGCGCGCTAACCGCTGCACCACCGCTCCAAACACACACAAACGCACACAAAGACAGAAAGTCATTTAAGCGTGTTTAAAATAACACTGTCAATTTAACAGCTCTATCTAAATAGCCGTGCAGACGTAATCAATAATTAACTGCTGTCGCTACAAGTGTGGTTATCTCGTCTTGCGACAGAATATTTAGAACAACACAATTGTGTCAACGTTATTATTTTCGTTACACTATCGTAACAATAAACACGCGACTGTCGATTCCAAAACAATTAATATCATAATGATTTAATAATAATAAAGATGATTTACAGGGCTTAGTACATACACTGCTCCACAGAATGAAAGGTCTCTCTATCCCACGCCATGTTGATGACGAGGGTTATTTTGACCATACTTCACCGCGCCGGTCACTGCGGGCTATTGCTGAATATTATCGATCTCTCATTCGCCACTGACGTTAGCCGTGGTCGGGGAATCGAACTCAGGTGGGCGGAGTTTACGTGCGCTAACCGCAGCGCCACCGCTCCCGTCCCTCTCCATATTACAAAAAAAACAACAATCTATAATGGTGGCTTGATTGATTAATTAACACGGGGTCTTAATTAATGTGTTGACTATTTAAAGCTATGTGCACAACCATTAATGCTAACATAGGTTTCATCCAGCAGTGGATCGCGCATGGCTGCTGCTGATGATGAATGGGTATTTGCGCGCGTGTGTATTTGCGATGCATGTTATCTGAATGCGATAATTGTGCGTGAATATACTGTGGACAATTATGTATGTGTCTGTGTCTCTATGTGTGTTCATGTGTGTAGGTAGACTTAACTTCGAATGCGTACCTGGTACGGTGTGTGAACATCGCCACTGGGGAGACAAAGGCGGCCGGGCGTGGTGCTGGCCACCCACCCCCTCGTGTGCCGTTCCGGCCTTCATAGGTGCTCGCTAACAGCACTTGCCCCAACAGTCCGTTAAGGCTATACGGGGGATCTTTGCCTTTGTGGTTATGTGTATACGTATGTGTGTTATGTGTGCACGTGTGTATGCATGTGTTCTAAATACGTGCGTACACGTGTATGTAGTATGTGCGTATGTATGTGTACATGTGTGCACGTGTGTGGGCAGTGTATGTGTGTGTACGTGCTTACGCGTGTGTGTGTATATTTTTGTGGGTGCACATGTGTGCTTGTGTGTATGTTTAAATGTGTACGTATGCGCGTGTGAATGTATGTGCGTATGTGTGAGTGTTTATATTTGTGTGTATGTGTGCGTGTGTGTTTGTACACGCGAATGTGTGTATGGAAAGGCGGAGCCGGAACCTTAATAGGTACTCGCTAACAGCACTTGTCCAAACGGCTTGTGTCGGCTATACGGGGGTTCTTTGTCTCTATGTAAGTATATATGTATAGATATGCGTAGTGCGTATGCGTGCGTATGTGGGTGTACGTGCATTTACGTCTGTGTATGTTTTTATTTATGTATGTTACATGTGTTCATGCATGGGCGAAAAAACATTGCCACTAGGGAGACAAAGGCGGCCGGGCGTGGTGCTGGTCACCCATCTCGTCGTGTGCCGTACCGGCCTTCAATAGGTGCTCGCTAACAGCACTTGCCCCAACAGTCTATCGAAGGCTATACGGGGGATCTTTGTCTTTGTAAATATACCACATTGAGCAAGAGCTAATTCACGAATGTTAGCGTATGAGCGCGAACTACTGTGTATATGAACTAGTTTGCGATTGAACATTGACGCATAAGTACACACGCAAGTACATCACATCTATGCGTACACACACACGTGTGTGTGTACACTCGCACACACACACACACGTGCTCACTAATCAACGTGCATTTACACACGCAAACATTTTGTAACGCACGCGTACAGACACCTACACACGCACGGACGCACAGATCCTCCCGTGTAGCCTCGACGGACTGTTGGGTCAAGTGCTCCTAGCGAGCACCTATGGATGTCGGCACGTCATACGAAGGGGTGTGGTGGCCAAGACCACACCCGGCCGCCTTTGTCTTCCTGGTGGCGATGTTTACACACCGCACCAGGTACTCATTTGAGGCTAGGGGAGGCCCAGGACCGGTCCAGACAATCGTCACTGGTGTTGGCCGTGAGCGGGAATCGCAATCAGGTCGATCGCTGGGTATCATAGCGCAGTGCGCTAATCACTCCTCTACCGCTCCCCAAATAATCTATCACACCCATATATATGTATACACACACACACATGTATCCATCACACAACAACAACCATCGTTCGCCACTAAGTGACTGGGACGTCACCACGACGGCTTGTGCCATGCTAGGCGCACAAAGACACTCACGCACTCGTGTACTATAACGCGTGCACGCGCGCACACACTCCGTGCGTTTGAACATCACGACACACGAACGGGCAGATACGCATGGGCACATACACACGCACATGCGTATTTGTCGAAATGCATTACACGTAACATTTGGATCCGTTCACACACACACATATACCACCTTCTCACATGCATATACAAACGCAAAGATCCCCCGTATAGCCTTAAGAGACTGTTGGGGCAAGTGCTGTTAGCGATCACATTTGAAGGCCGGAACGAGGGGGGGGGGTGAGTGGCCACCACGGCCGGCCGCTTTTGTCTCCCCAGTGGCGATGTTTTTCCACACCGCACCATGTTCTCATTTGAGGCTGAGTCTACCTAGGGGAGAACTAAAACCAGTTCATATAATCGTCGCTGTTGGCCGTGAGCGGGAATTGAACTGTGGCCAACCGGGTTCGTAACGGAGTGCGCTCACCGCCACGTGACCGTCCCTCAACACACACACATATATACACATTTTTATATATATACAAATACACACGCACAAATACACATACAAAACACGTTCTCATACACACACACTCAGGCACACGTGTACAATAAACGTGTGTACACCACACACACACACACTCTCGTGTACACATATACAATAACACGTTTGCACACACATACACACTTTCTCTCTCGTAAGCACACGTACAATGACACGTATATACACACACACACTCTTTCGTATACACACATAGAAGGACACATTTGCGCACGCACACACACATACAATCACACACACACACATACAGGAACACATATGCACACACACACACACATATGCATACTATCACACGTTTGTATACACACAATCTCGAGAACGGATATACACAAATACACACGTATTAACACAACTCATGGATACTGTGATGATTTAATAACTTCATTAATGAATAAGCCACGGCTTAACGATTACCCTAGCGCGTACTTACTCACGGACACAAAGAAAAAGATCTCCCGTATAGCCTTCAACAGACTGTTGGGGCAAGTGCTCTCAGCGAGCGCCCAAGAAAGTAGCCACAGCACCACGCCTGGCCGCCTTTGTCTCCCTAGCGGCGATGCGTACACACCGCACCAGGTACTCATTCGAGGCTGAGTCGACCTACACGCAGACACACTCACACATGGACGCAGACACACACACACACACTAACTTTGACGCACGAGAGATGATGATTGTGAATCCACCCCATAGCCTTCAACCGCTCCGCGCCAACAAGGCGAAGAAGCGACGTCTCCCGAGTGGAGGAGGCATTGAGCATCGCCCATCTCGCCCAGAGACGCAAAGTCCACGGCACACTCGGCAAAGTAACACAATCACACCACCACCGTCACCGGCACCACCATCAACACCACCACCACCACCACAGAAGCGTGACAAACACAACGCACAATCGATCACAACTCAGACGTAGACAGAGTGAACAACGTGACAGCCCTACAGCAACACCCAAACGTGCACAGGCGGATCCGTGCCGTACTCATCCCCCCCCCCACCCCCTCCAAAAAAAACTCACTCACATCAACGCGCTCCAACTCTCTTACTCACTCACTCACACGCGCGCGCACTTACTCCAACACAGCGCTACGGATAGCGGGATGGAGAGTGAGGACAGGATGGGGGGGGGTGTTGTGTGGTGGTGGTGGTGGTGGGGGGGAGGAGGTAGCGATGGTGGTCAAGTATGGTCAAGGCTTTCGGCTGCACACTTACCACGTATCCAGGGAAGGCTGCGTGGTCAGCCGTGTACTGTAGCGGGCTATAGGCGTGCGGTGTCGCAGCAGCCGCGGCTGCAGTCGCGAAGGCGGCCGAAGCCGGGTAGGGGCTGAACGCAGATCCGGCACCGGATCGGCCCAATTCCTCGGAGCGAGCGCCACCCAGTAGCGTGGGGGCCCCGTACGCCGGGCACGAGTAGAGGGCGAGCGATGCGGACGAGGGCTGGTACAGATAACCTTGGGGATGGTGAGCCATCACGCACACACGCCGACTCGGGTCTGCGGTGGCGGCTGTCGGCGAAGGCAACGGCGGCGGCGCGCGGGTACGAGAAGGGGAGGAGGAGGAGGGGGGGGGGGGCTCGAGTCGATGGGAGAGTTTTTCTCGGGGGGGGGGAGGGGCGGGGTGTGTGTTGGGGTAGGGATAGAGGGGTTGGGTTGATGGTGGTGGTGATGGTAGTGGTGGTGGTGGTAGCTGTGTGTCTCTCTCTCTCTCTGTGGGTGCATGAGCGACCGCGCGCGCGCGCGCGCAATTGTGTGCGCGCGCGTGTGTCAGTCACTTTGTGTGTGCGCGCGCGCGTGTGTGTGTGTGGAGAAGAGATGGGGGGTGGGGGGAGAAGAGTGGATCATGGGGTGGGTGGGTGAGAAGGGAGAGTGGGTGGGTGGATGGGTGGGTAGGTGGGAGGCAGTAGGGGAGGGAGGAGAGTGAGAGGAGGAGGAGTAGAGGGGAGGGAGTGGACCCGAAGCTTCTAAAAACTGTGCGCTCTCACTTTGTGCTGAATGTCAACGCAGACCCAACCACAACCACCGCCACCCCCACAACCACCGCCACCACCACCACAACCACCGCCACAATCACCGACACAACCACCGCCACCACCACCGACACAACCACCGCCACCACCACCACCGACACAACCACCACCGACACCACCACCACCGACACCACCACCACCGCCACCACCACGACCGACACAACCACCACCGACACCACCATCACCACCGACACAACCACCGACACGTCGTGCGAACTGCCCCAAAGCTGCTTCCTCGCTAGGAAGACATCTCTAACATATCTAACAATTCAGCCAACGATATTATTGAGGGTGTTTGCGCACGTGTACGTATACACACAGCATGTGTGGGAGCGGTGGCGCAGCGGTTAGCGCGCTGGCCTACGAACCCGGCGACCCGAGTTCGGTTCCCCGATCACGGCTAATATTGGTGGCGAATACCTGCGTCGGTCCCGGGACTCCTCTATGCCGACTCAGCCTTAAATGATCAGTAACTTAGTGCGGTGTAAAACAAAAATCAGCGCTGGAGAGAGGCAAAGAAGACAAAGGCGGCCGGGCGTGGTGTTGGCCACCCACCCCCTCGTGTGCCGTGCCGACCTTCATAGGTGCTCGCTAGCAGCGCTTGCCCCGAACAGTCGACGTGGGATCTTTATGTCTTGAATCCTATGATACACATATGTGCATATCGTCCGTGCGTGCGTGTGTGCGTGTGTGTGGTGTGATTGTCTCTATGCGTGTGTCTGTGCGTGCCTCTGTGTGACTGTTTTGTGTCCGCCAATGTGTTGTCTGTTGTGTATGACTGCGTGTGTATGTGTGCGTTTTTGTCAGTCTGTGTGATAGTGTGTGTGTGTGTCTCTTTGTGCATGTGATGGTGTATTTGTCTGTATGGGTAGGTGCTCGCTAACAGTACTTGCTCCAAGTCACTTAAGGCTACACGGGGAATTATTTATTTGCCTCTATGTGTATGTGAGTGTCTGTGAGACTGGGGTATCTTCAATAGGTGCTCGCAAAGACCACGTGCCCCCAAACATCCTTGTACGTGTGTATGCGCGCGTGCATCTGTGCATTTGTCTTTGCGTGCATCCGTCTGTTAGCACGGATTCGTGCACCTCTGTTCGACTCATGTTGTGCGCGTGTCTGGCGCTGTTGCTGCCCGGTTGAAATCTGTCGCCGTCACTGCTCTTACCATCCCGTCGATCTGCGTCGACGTCTTTGTCTCTGCCAGCAGTGGATCGACGAGGCGGGAATTTAATTAAGAGGGACAAAGCTACTCCGCGTAGCCTTTAACGGACAGTTGGGGAAAGTGTTGTGAACGATCACTCATGAAGAACCTTGTATACAACGACAACGATCCCCCGTGTAGCCTGTAACAGACTGTTGGGGCAAGTGCCGTTAGCGAGCACCTATGAATGCCGGCAGGGCACACGAGGGGATGGGGTGGCCAGCACTAAGCCCGGCCGCCTTTGTCTCCCCAGTGGCGATGTTTACACACCGCACCAGCGTTCTCGTTTGAGGCTGAGTCGACCTAGGCGGGAGGTCCAGGACCCGTTCAGCGGTGTTGGCCTGTGAGCGGCGGCGGGTATCGAACTCGGGTGGCCGTGGTTCGTAGCCGCAGCGCGCCAAGCGTTGCACCACCGCTCCCCACGTGCTCTACGTGCACTCTGTGCGTGGCACGCCACGTGCGCCATTGCATTGATATGTTCATTGCATAGTTACACGTGTGACGACGGTACGCACCGTGCGTGTCTGTCAATGGCAATGACATCAGAATGCATTTGTGTCGGCTTGCAATGAGCAGCAATATCAACACGGTGGGTATATATACACACACGCGCGCGTTACTAATTGCTGCAAGACGTATACCGAGCGTTTTGTGTACGGCGTTGCATTGTTTGTGTGCGCGTGTACATAAATATGTGCGTTGTGTTGGTGACTGGGACGCGCTGTGAATGATTGCGTATTGCGTGTGTGTTTGTGTGTCTGTGTGTTTGCGTGTCGGCCTTCATAGGTGCTACTCGCTCACAGCACTTGCCCCAACAGTCTGTAAAAGCTACACGGGGGATCTTTGTCTTTGTGTATACGTGTGTTTGTATACTTTGTGTGTGTACGTGTGTGCAAGTGTGTGTATATATACTTACGTGTGTGTATGTATGTATGTGCATGCGCGTACGTGAGTGTATGTATCTATATAGATTGCTCATCAACAGCCTGTGCTTACACTGTACCTGGGCCTCCTCTAGCTCGACTCAGCCTTAAACGAGTACCTAGTTTTAGGCTATACTGGGGTATATTTGTACGTGAACGCACGTCTGTTCCATGTGCATGTGTGCCGGTAAGTATAACCGTTTAAACATGTGCGATACATGCACGGACGCATCCGTTTAATGTATATTCCTACGGGTGATCTTTATATTTGAGTGCGTCTGTGATGTAACATCGACATCTCTCCTGTCGTCTACTGAGTCGATCCACTGCTGGATTAAGGCATCACGAAGCCGTGTTGTTCATGGAGGGGAGGTTGTTGGGATGCGGTGGGGGTCTTTGACCATACTTCACCACGCTTTGTCAGTGCGGGTTGGTACATCCGTGCAGACATCACTCGCCATCGATCCTGTGCCGTGGCCAGGAATCGCACCCAACACAACAGCTACGGTGGGTGCGCGAAGACAATTCCTCGTTGTGCTGAACGATTAATCGATTTCGATTTGAAATCGATTAATCGATTTCGATTTGAAATCGATTAATCGTTCAGCCCTAATTCCTTGCGCGCGGTGCCCTCACCACTGCTGCTACCGCTCCCCGTAGATCTATGTAATGTGTGTGTGTGTGTGAATGTGTGTGTGAATGTGTGTGTGTGAATGTAATGTGTGTGTGTGTGAATGTAATGTGTGTGTGTAAATGTTTGCGGAACAATGCGCGCGCACACACACAGCGGCCACGCGGTCGTTGGCAACGTGAGCCTCCGTTCCCTTCTTAGATCAATAGCGGGCGCGAGAGAGAGAGAGACAGGAGAGAGACGGGACCACCACCACCAACAACAACAACCACCACCACCACCAACAACAACCACCACCAACAACAACTACCACCACCACCTCCGACAATGGCCTAAGTTTCCGGGATTAATGAAGTCGGCCACACTCTTCCTCGCGATTATTAAATTAGGGTCTGGTCGTTCCCACTAATTATGGGGCTGCCTCGCAACCCACCCCCTTACTTTAGTAGATCTCTCGTTCCGCCTTCACTCCTCTTTGTACGTCCCCCCCCTCTCTTCCTCCTCCTCCTCCTCTCTGTCTTTCTCCATCCTCCCCTTCTCTCCACCCCCCTGCTCCTGCTCTCTCTGCTCCTTTTTTCCTCCTCCTCCTCCTTCTCCTCCTCGTCCCCTCTGCTTCCATCCTCTGATGCTCTCCATCCCTTCCCTCATCCTCCTCTTTCTGTCTCTGTCTCCTTCTGCCTCCATTCGCGTCTTCTCTCCAACCAAGCCTTTCTCCTGCCGTGTCTCTTCGCGACTATTTACGTCTGCGCCCTCCCCTTTCTATCTCCTCCTTGTTTCGGAATCAGAATATTGATTTCTACCGGAGGAGGAATCCAATGAGCTATGAAGCTCGTTTTCCACAGATGTCCAGTTTGGAGCGCGGGGTCAGAACGTTACAACAACAAACAGTGCGAAACACAATAGGAGTGCGAAGTATAGGAATGGTAAACAAATCACTTAAAAAAATACACAAATTATATGTGATCCTCCTCCTCACTGCCATTATCCTCCTACTGCAGTGTTGTGTTCAGATGTCAATCATCCAGCCAGCACCCCGCCAGCACCAATCCCGGGTCCACAGGAAATTAAAGCAGCCCCCACTCCTCCGCCCCTCGCCAACCCCCCCCCCCCCCCCGCGGTGTCGATACGGGAGGCGAGGGCAGATACGGGGGAGGGGGCAGATACGGGGAGGAGCAGATACGGGGGGGGGCATATAGGGGCGGGGCGGATACGGGGAGGGAGCAGATACGGGGAGGGGGTTGCAGATACGGGGGGGGGGGCAAATACGGGGGGGGCAGACAGGGGCGGGGCGGATACGGGGAGGGAGCAGATACGGGGGGGGGGGGTTGCAGATACGGGGAGGGGGGGCAGATACGGGGGGGGGGTGAGATACGGGGGGGGGGGAGGGGTGATCCTTAGCGTGCTGGCGATATGCGAGGATGATAGAGCAAAGGTTCGTTTTGTATAATGACCAGGTCTCGGTCAATCCACCGCTGGATGAAAGTCTCCCCTCCTCGTGCATCCGTATTGCTTGACCATGACCATACTTCACCACGCGGGTTGGCGATTGGGCTTGGGCGCGGTGCCGTTATAGGGCCGCAATGCTCGACCGCCTTTGTCTCCCCCAAAGTGATCGTGCTCGCACGTTGTGTCAGGTTACTCATTAAAAGGCTGAGTCGACCTAGGGGAGGCCCAGGTGCCGGGTCACTTATTTCGCCATTGATTGCTCATCGTTTTCGGGACTGGAACTCTGGTTTGAGCGGAGTGCGCTAACCACTTGGCCACCGCTCCCCCATACGTACCGACGACACGCG